GCAAGTGCTGTTAGCGAGCAGCACCTATGAAGGCCGGAACGGTACACGAAGGGGGGGTGGGTGGCCAGCAACCACGCCCGACCGCTTTTGTCGATGTTTACTACACACACCGCACCAGGTACTCATTTGAGGCCGAGTCGACCAAGGGGAGGCCCAGGACCGGTTCGGATAATCGTCGCTGGGCGTTGGCCGTGAGCGGGAATCGAACCGGGGTCGCCGGGTTCGTAGCGCAGCGTAGCGCTGACCGCTGCACCACCGCTCCCCACAGTCACCACCACCACCACCACCCCCGCCGCCTCTCTCCACCTCCCGGCCCGGCCGCCCCTCTGTCCACTGCTGTGGTGTCAGCACCGCCCCAACGAATGTTTGATTCGCCAGCAAGGGCCGTGAACGATTGTTGCAATCCAGCATCGGCGGTTCAGTTTCCTTCCCAGTGAACAGGGAACCGTCGTTGGGCCAACGTTGCCCCAACATTGCCCCAACGTTGCCCCAACGTTGGCATGTTTATCGGGCTGTTGCTGAACCAAACGTTTGCTTCTGGCACCTCTCGCTCTATTTTCTCTACGTTTTAACTTTTTTGTTTGTTTCGATTAACGTGCGTTTCGCACACGACCGTTAAGCACCCCGCTTGTTGGTCGTGCGATGATGTCCCTGAAGGACCCCGCTGCCGTACTCCGTTCCTCTGCAGTGTCGATGTTTTTTTGTTTCGTTTGTTGCTGTGGCTCACCCAGCGCCACGGATCTCCCGTGATGAAAAAAACAAGAATATCACTGGCCGAACGGGGACCATCATCCGTGTGACAACTTCAAATACGTCATTAGGCCTCCTTTGCCAGTACCAAAATGTAATAATAGGGGTTTTCCCCTTTTTTCTGGCAACAAAGCTGAAACCTTTTTACAAGGATTCATGTTGCTGCATTTACCAGACATGAATCCCTATTATTACATTTTGGTACTGGCAAAGGAGGTCTAATGATGTAGATGCTCACCCCGAGCCCTCATTACTTTGATAGTGCAATGTCTTTGAGCTGTGTGACGCCTTTTGGCGTCATCTGACCGAGCACCAATTGGGTGGAGGCTCAAAAGAAAGCCGTCCCTTGGTGTGGACCAATCAGTTTCAAGGACAATGCATCATATATTATCATAGTAATGTTTTTTTTGTTTGCATTTTGACCGCAGGTATTGTGGTTAATGCAGTAACATGAATCCTTGTAAAAAGGTTTCAGTTTTGTTGCCAGAAAAAAAGGGGAAAAACCCTATTATAACTTCAAATACGCTTCAACTTACTCATCTCTGATGTGGGGTGGTAGGGTGGCGGGGGGTGGGGTGGGTGTCTATGCAGAATGTGGGCGTGGCTACGCGGTAAAGGGGGCGAGGCCGTACACCATCGCCACGCCCCTGTTGCACAACTGCTGGCTGAGACGTGGGCAAAGGAGCCGGGGGGCCGGCCGCAGGGCGCGACTTAACCCCGCGGCGCTTCCAAGGGCGGGTTTCGTCTCGCGCGACCAAATCGCTCGGTGCGTGGGCCGGGGGCTTTTGTCCAGCCGCTGTCGACGCCTCATCAACGTTGCCTCCTACCTCGTTGTGTCGTCGACCGTGAGTCATATCGCCCGGTGCCGATTTCACATCGCAACGTTGGTGGCACCAACCCCTTTTCGTGCCGGCCCGGGACAACAACGCCTTTCAAGTTGCCGTCGAGGTCGCGTCCTTTGCAGGAGTTCGTTGGTTGGTTGCATTCGCCGTCCAATGTTCTGCGTCTGCATTCGTTGTCACGTTGCGACCGCCTGCCTGGCATTCACTCGCTCTTGTAAAGCCAGCTGGTCCTAAAAACAGGAACCACCGCGGGGTCTCGCCCGGTCATAAATAAATATGCCTGTCAGGTACGCAGGACCCCCCCCGGCAATCTCTTTGTTGAACCCGTCCCAGCACCAAGTGAGCCTCCCTCTCTTGGCCTACCACCCCCCACCCCCCCCCCCCCAAAAAAAAAAAATCACCCGCGCAGCAGCTTGAGACCGGTGTCCGATTTGGACGCTTTACGAGAGATTAAATTCAGAACCTTATTTTATCGTGTGCTGCGTTCAATAAATCTCCGCAGGGTTCAATTCACTTTTATAACCGGACGCAGGATGTCCGTTGCTATTTGTTTCGTCTCTTACAATGAAAATCATAAATTATTTGAGGGCAGTTTTTTTTTCTTCTTCTTTTCTTCTTGGCTTATTCGCGAAGGCTGCGATGTGGCCAGCAGATCTCAATGGAGGAATTGATTCTTGTAATGAGATTGATCATATTCTTACGCCAGTATTATTTACAATGGTAGTAACAATGCTATTTATTTACCCAGGCGAGCGTTTCAGGAGGGCCCTGCTGCATTGGGATGTTTGGCCAATTCCATTTGTGAGCCACCCAGAGAGTAAAGAATATTTTTAAAAACCCACCACACATACGAAGAGGGGGGGGGGGGGAGGGTGCTCAAAGCTCCACACAGATAGAATCAATAATCCAATGCTGTACTGGCATCTTCTGGCCACCTCTTAGCCCAATGCACGGCAGTCTCCGAACCGAGTACTAGCCAGGCTAAAAACCGGCTTAGCTTCCATCATCTCCATGGTAGCAAAGGACGGAGGCGTTTTGAGAAATTGAAGCAATTGGCGGGACCCCGGGGCACCATCACTGCCCCGGGGTGGGAAAACCCGTGTAGCGACACGAGTCTTGTTGCCTTACCGACAACAACAAAACTAGCGGTCAATCGATTGGCCTCGTCGAGAGCTACTCGGGGCACTAAGTTTCGTAAAAAGTTGAAAAATTACACAAACACGTTAAATTCACTGCCTGGGGGGCGGGGGGCGGCGGTGGGGCTCGCCTTGGCAAAGAAGCTGAGGGTCGACTGCGGCGGACGCCCCCGGGGGCTTGCGTTTGGCCGGTGGGGTGGCGCCCATCGTGTTGACCGCCGCCTGCTGCTGCTGCTGCTGGCGCTTGTTGGCGCGGTAGTCTGGGCGGCCGGCGCGTTGCTGTCGGGATCACGAGTGGGGCGGACTGAAAAAAATAATAATAATTATTGACCTGATTTTTGCGGGACCCCGGGGTCCCGCCAAATGATTCAATTGTCCAACAGCAGGAGGAATTTCACCATCAACATGACGATCATCGTCAGCCACGGTTAATCCACTGCTGGGTGAAAGTCTCCCCAAGCCGCCACCGCCTCTCACGGTCCTTCGGCGTAACAATCCACTCGGCACCCGCACATGGAACAGATTTAATCACTCCATTTCCTCGGGTTGACGCGTTCCATCCCTTGGCTTCCGCTCCACGATTATTATTCCCGATCATCGGCCATCGTATGAAGGAAGTTCAGCATGCGTACACGCGCAGTATTCGTTATTAATGACCGCGTTTCTGAACCGCAATGAGAAGAAAAGAGCAGGGGGGGGGGGCACACGCTGCTTTACAAAATCAACAAAGTGCCCACTGGCAAATGTGTGGCCCGCTATGCCATCCAGGCAGCTACTACCCCTCTTAAATATTCCAGTCTGCGAGCCAGGTTGTGTAAGCTTTCTAGTGCTGAATAAGTGGCAGAAGGGGCTCGCTCCCAGGTTACATGCAGCACTTTGTGCCCGTGCGCTAAACGATTCCGCCGAGACCCTGCATCTGAAGACAAAACTCCCGCGTGAGTTGAGTGGTCTCGGCCCGGCCACCGCTGCCCTCGCTCGAAAAAAGTCAAATGCCTCCTCTTTGTTGTACGCACCCTTGAGGGGGGGGGGGGGGGGGTGGGGAAGCTGCCGCTTCTGGTCCGCGCACCGGACTTGCAAATCCAGAGGTCGGGGCAGGAGGGTTGGGATTTGGTCTCCTGGCGCAGCAGTTTTCCAAAAAGTTTCTTGAATCCCACAGCCTGCCCGCGTCGCTATCCACGCAGCGGTATAATGGGCACACTGCTGCTTAGTCTATGACCGGCTGGTCATGTGTGTACAGGGGGGGGGGGGTAAGGTGTGGGTGCTCCTAGCGCTTTCAGAGACGTCTGACCAGCGTCGAAATAGGAGGCTGAAATTTTCCCCTTTTCCCTCTGCAGGTTCTCCCCCCTCGAGCAATTGCAGGGCTGCGCCTCTACCCCTTTTCCCGTCTTAGGCTCGAGGCCAGTCCTCGGTGGGGTCTTATTTTGCAGCTCGGTACCGAGCAATTAGGCCTGCTTGACTGCATGAAGCCTTCTGGTTACGTGAAATAGGTCCCCCCCATTTCTGTTAAGCAGCGAGTGTTGCGAAATACGATGGTCGTAGCAATGGAATGGGTGGGGTGGATTATTACGATGGATTATTACAATGGATTATTACGATGGATTATTACAATGGATTATTACAATGGTGGATTATTACAATGGCGGCGGGATCATTGAAGGGTGGCAGCGGTTTGGGTAGGCTGGCCTTCATTCAGCACTGGATTATTACAATGGATTATTACAATGGTGGATTATTACAATGGATTATTACAATGGATTATTACAATGGTGGATTATTACAATGGATTATTACAATGTATTATTGCAATGGATTACTTCAATGATAGATTATTACAATGGAGGCGGGATCATTGGAGGGCGGCAGCGGTTTGAAGAGAACATTCATCCATTGCCTGTGAACACGCTTATTGCACATCTGAGGTCAACTGAAGTAGAATGCAACAATGTTGAAAATTGTTTAAATAAAGCGCGGTTGTTTTTTGTGTTATCTATTCTTTCGCTCAAGATGCAGCAGTATCGAGCACTTCACATTTAACCTAATCTATTCATATATATATTTTTTCGTCTAGGCCGAGAGAGTTTCTGCCAGTTTTTATTTTCAACTCCGTCGAGTGAAATAAAATATTCAACAGATAAACCCCAGGGGTGGGAGGGTGGGGGGCATCATTATAAAATTCACTCCTTCACAATCCTCTGGCACACACAAAACACTGTAGCTTGAAGACACCAACTTAGGCTTTTCCTATTTACCGTATTCTCCGGATTATAAGATGCTCCGGAAAATAAGACACACACACCCGCCCCTCCCACAGGCGCAGTGGTACTATTACGGTAATTATAACCCGCAGTAGTGACCAGGGGCGGCCGCTGGATTCGAACCGCGAAACTGTGCAGCAGCAAGCGGCGAGCGCTCTATCCGCTGGGGCCTCTGCGTCGCACCGCACTCTTGTCACGGATTGTCCAATAAAACGTTTTGTGCATTTGCGCAGGTAGTCATTTCAATTCTCACATTTACCGAGTTTCCAGTTCGGCACACGCCAAGCGTCCGTCTCGACCTTCCACGCCGCCAATGTCCGACCGTCACCCGAATCGGGACCGGGGCCGCGTGGCCGATTGGGGGCCACCCGACGCCACGAACGGCGCCGTCAAAGATTCGGCGGCCCCTGCGAAGCGGTCCGGCCACGGAATCCCAAACCGTCGGCCGCATCGTAAACACTCCGCCGCCGCCTTCGCCCCTTTAGAGGAGGAACGGACGAGGTCCCGCTCTGCTTCTGAACAGACAACTGAGCGGACAACGTCGTCTAAAATCGCACCTTTAATCTGCTGCTATTGATCCGTACGAAAGCAGAGAAGAATATCCGTGTGGCTGGGGTCCAAGGGCATAGTCCAGGGGTTGGTTAACGTGCAGGCCCGGAGCTGCGCGCGGCTCTTGAAGGAACCGGCTTCGTCGCGTTACCTATCAAGGACCCACCGTCTCCTATTCACCATCGGTGCATTGCGGCTCTTCCAATATTGAGCTCGGAATTAAAAAAAAAAAATCTCTTCTTGCTATTTTATCTGCCAGCCCCCGCTACAGAGGCAGATGAACGCGCGCCTGCTGAACTGCTTCTCGCGCCGTACGAAAGCCATCCGCGCCAATCGGAGCTGCCGCTTACGCGCACGAGGTCGGATTCGTGAACGCCGATGGCGAACGGAACCATTGCGCCGCCGCGCAGAGCGAACGCCAGCACGGGGGTGCGAGCGGTTAAGTGGTCGGGGCGGATACGCGGCGGTCGTGCGCTTGACGCGTCGTGCGAGCGCCGAACGTGACCCCCCCCCCCCCTTCCCCTCCCCCCCCCCTTCCCCTGCCCCCGCTTCCCCGGGCGCGCGAAACGCGCACTTTGGCGCCAGCTACCGTCGAGTGGCGGTCGCGTCGCGTCGCGTCGCTTCTCTGCGGTGAGTAACGACGTCTTTAAAAACAACGGCGGTGCCGCTACGCCTCTCGGTATAACGTTAACGCGCGTGTGTGTGTGCGTGTGTGCGCGCGTGTGTGTGTGTGTGTGGCCCGCCTTTCAGCCGGCGGGATGGAGAAACGGAGCCAACCACTGCGCCCACTTCTCGTCGGCGAACGGCAACTACCGCAACCTGCCGGGATTCGTGCGCAACGGCTCCCTGTCGGAGAACACCCACCCGCCCTCCATCCCCGAGGAGGAGGAGGAGGAGGACGGGGAGCAGAACGACGCGGAGGAGATGGAGGAGCCGGAGGTCCCGATCGTCATCGTTGAGGAGCAGGACTCCGGCTCCCGCATCGTCGCACAGGAGGAGACGGAGACGGTCATGTAAAGGGGGGGGGAACCTGGGCGAGAGGCCGATCGGTTCGCGAAAGCTTTGGTGGGGGGGGGGGGGGTCATGGGGAAGTGTGGCGTCTTTACGTTTGTGCCGGATCCGTGCAAAAAATATGCGCGGGGTTTTTATTTTACGTTTAGGTTTCCTTTGTTGGTTATTGACCCCCTTTCCCGTTCCCACGACGTACGTGTACACGTCATCCATTTTTCTTCCGATTCCGTTCCGACGGCGTACGTACGCGGAACGTCGTCGTGACGGAATCGGGGGAAAAAAACTACGGTTAAAATAACTTTATCGGCACCGACGCTCCCGCAAGGCCATGCAGGGAGGGCGTGTGGCACAGTTTGGCACCAGCTGTCATAGAGTGTGGTCGTGTGGCTACAGTTCTGTACGGTGAGTATGATGCCTTTTGAAAGCAACGTCGCTACGCCTCTCTAAATAAAATTCACGCCGAGCCGCTCGCGTGTTCCGGGATTCGGCGGTGAACGGGACACCTGCCCTGTAACTCGCAGACGTCTCGGAACGGCAAAGGGTTAAAATGTATGCCTCGCTCGTGTTGAGGACTCTGCATAAACCAGGCCGTTTCATCTCCTCTGTAATGTGTTCAGAAACAGAATATTTATCCTGGAGAAATCCGATGAGCTATGAAGCTCTTTTTCACAGATGTCCAATTCAGCCACCACACTGCATGTCGCAACAACACATTCACTCACCCACTCACTCACCCACCCACTCACCCCCTCAACCACTCATCCACCCACTCACCCGCCCACTCGCCCACCCACTCACCCCCTCGCTCACCACGCTGCAGGTTACAACAACACATTCACTCACCCACTCACCCACCCACCCACTCACCCCCTCGCTCACCACGCTGCAGGTCACAACAACACATTCACTCACCCACTCACCCACCCACCCACTCACCTCCTCGCTCACCACCCTGCAGGTTACAACAACACATTCACTCACCCACCCACCCACCCACTCACCCCCTCGCTCACCACGCTGCAGGTCACAACAACACATTCACTCACCCACTCACCCACGCACCCACTCACCCCCTCGCTCACCACGCTGCAGGTCACAACAACACATTCACTCACCCACCCACCCACTCACCCCCTCGCTCACCACCCTGCAGGTCACAACAACACATTCACTCACCCACTCACTCACCCACCCACTCACCCCCTCGCTCACCACCCTGCAGGTCACAACAACACATTCACTCACCCACTCACCCACGCACTCACCCCCTCAACCACTCGTCCACCCACTCACCCGCCCACTCGCCCACCCACTCACCCCCTCGCTCACCACGCTGTAGGTTACAACAACACATTCACTCACCCACTCACCCACGCACCCACTCACCCCCTCGCTCACCACCCTGCAGGTCACAACAACACATTCACTCACCCACTCACTCACCCACGCACTCACCCCCTCGCTCGCCACACTCCTCTTCCTGCCGCGTCCCTCCGCCGTCGAATTACCCTCACCATCTCCTCACCTCCCCCGAGTTCGTACAAAGCTTGCTCGACAAGCAAGTAAAACAAAACACGTCATCCCATTTTTGCTGCATCATCCAGAGCAGTGCCGTTTGTCGCTGGACGCTTGGCGTTTTTGGACCCTTGTTCTTCTTGACGGCGGGCATCATTTTCCCTTCCGTGTCTCGTCATCTAGGAGGGAATTACAGCTACACCTAAACTGCGATATCACCACGAGGGACTACTACGCACGTGTAAGGCGCGTTCCTGTAAAGAACACCATTTGTCCCCTATTGTACGACGTTCGAATGCACGCCATCGCAGCGATGACACCGGAACGGCGGCTTCGTTCACCGAAGTAACTCGACTGGCAATGGCGGTGAACAGGGTTGCAGTCTCTGTGACGAAGCGTCCCACACATTTAAATAGCTGTCAAAACCCTAACATTCGTTGTACTTTCTTTGTTGTTGTTGTTGTTGTTTCGGATAACGTGCAGAGGCTTTGTCTCTTGGAAACCAACGCCGCTAGCCGAACCCGTTAATTACAACGGTAGCGTCGAACATTGAAAAATGCCTCGCTTGAAAGCGAGACGCCTCGAAGTTCAAACGCCATTAAAACGTGAAACCAAGCGCTGGACCATTGCTTAAACATCAAACAATCAATTGGCCAATGAAGTGCACTGCATGCCCCCACAACAGTATTTGGTTGCATCGTTATGCCGTGCCACATGCCCAGGACGGCTCGCTCGCGCGTTTCGGGGGGTTTCGTTTCGCTCAGCTGTGCTAAGGGGCCGTCCATAAATGACGTCACGCACCTGGGGGGGGGGGGAAGGGGGGTCAGACATTTGTGACGATGTGTGACGAGGGGGGGGGGGGGGGGTTTGAGAAATGTGACGTCACATCAAAATGCGCAACTTTAAATAAATATAGAATTGTTATAGCAACACTAATTGTTATAACAACACTCCTACAACATCAGAGTGCAGCGCCTCATTAAACACGCACTACAATGACAATAGTTTAAAGCGATTTGAAGCATGTTTTATTTTCAAATGGAAAAATGGTTTGGGGGGGGGGGGAGCAGAGCTTTGTGACGTCATATTTGAGGGGGGGGGGGGGTCTGACTTTTTGTGACGCCGTGTGACGAGGGGAGGGGGGGTCAAAAATCGTCCAAAATCGCGTGACGTCATTTATGGACGGCCCCTAACCGCTGCGCCACCGCTCCCCCAACTCCGCGAGTGAACGTACGCAACGCAAAGCAGTGCCCCCCCCCTTTATAACGACGTTCCGTTTGTTGTGAGGTCACGTGAATATGAACGTGTCGTCAAACCCGCCACCATCCGACACCGCCGGTTAGGGAAGGGTTTGTCTACTTAAACGAAACGTGGTCACTTCGTTACTGGCAGGGCACCACGGGGCTGTGTGTGGCTGGAGAGTAAACCCACTGCATCGTTGACAACCTCGAGTGCCCGTGATGTTTCGCCGGTAACTACATCATTCAGAGCCATCATTCAGGGCGATTTTTTTGACGGCGAAACGCCACTGCAGTCGAATTGTCAAACGTCGTGGATTCACCCTCCAACGCACAACCGGTGTGCCGATAGTGCATTATGGGAGCTTCTATTCTTATTAACCCTGAGTGCATTATGGGATGCATTATGGGACCTTCTATTCTTATAAACCCTGAGTGGTTCGCTGCTTCGGGCGGTTGTGGCGGGCTCAACGACGCACTCGCACTTACGCGACCGAACCCCAAAAGGGCCTTTTATTACGAACAAAATTTTGCTCGCGAACGCCCAACTGCGTGTCCAAGTGCCCCCCCCCCTTAGCCGGCTAAGCCAGCATAGTCGCATAGGAACGAAACGCTGTGAAGCGAGAACAAGGCGAAGACCAATGTGGCACCGTTGATCCCTGCACCCAAGCCTTGATTTAAAAAAAAACAAACACCCTTAACCCAGTTGCGCGCGACCGCATTGCTTTGTGCGCGTGGGAGTCCCTGCAACCGGTTGCGAGCGCAGTTACGCGCGACTCGGTCGGCTCAGGGCAGAGGCGGAGCTCGGCTCGCGAGCGTCGTTCCGGCTCGGCGATTCGTCTCGTCGCTTTGCTGCACGTTTTTGCGAACTTGTGGTTGCCCAGCGAGCACAGAAACTGTCGAGGGGCGGGCAACATCGGAGACCCGTTTGCGCCAACGTTGTTCCTTCGCTTCGAATAGTTCCAACCGCACGGAAAACGTTGGCCCAACGTTACGCGTTTGCTGTGGTTGTTTGCTATCCTGATGCGGGTTATGCGGGGTGGTGGGGAGGCGGAGGAACTACTCGCTCAGACGTGGACAAAGGCAGTCGCCGGGGCGATGATTGAGTTGCTTCGATTTGACGGGCGATTTGAACGGGCGATTTGAACGGGCGATTTGAACGGTGGCGCCAGGGACCGCTCACGTGCGGTGGACCGGGCGGTAACGCGCACACGGCGCCCTCGACCGGTTACAAACACCGTTAATGATGCGGGGGGGGGGGAGGGAGGGATGGAGGGAGGGAGGGATAAAGGGAGCGAGGGGGCAGGGAGGGATAGAGGGAGAGAGGGGGAGGGATGGAGGGAAGGAAGGAGGGATAGAGGGAGGGAGGGGGTAAGGATGGAAAGATAGAAGGAGCGACTCATTCGCCGTGAATTTTCTGCAAATGGATTTTATGTTCCCGCAGCCTCGGCTATTTCGCTACAAAATGACGTTGACGACGACAAGATTGGTAGCCTTAGCCGTTGAAGTCTGTTTCGTCCAGCTAGTGATGTCCTCGTCGTAAGAGCAATGATACTTATAAATAACAAATGAGCGCATGCCACCGCTTTATTGAGTACAGTGTAAAAAAGAAGTATCATGCGCGTGTGTGTGAGCCTATTAAGCTTGTTGCCGTTATTTATAGTTTTGTATGCAAGTGAATGTCGGGCGTAATGATTCCAAGATTCCTTTTTTTGCAATGTTAAATCGATTCGATAGGCCGTATCCGTCTTTGTGAAATATATACGCAATTATATAATGATGCAGCTGAAAATATATTTTCGCGTCAATTCAATTAGGGAGGGACTCTTCGTCGGCATATTTATCTGTTCAATAAGCGACGCTCTCGATCGATTCCATAGTCGGCAAAGTAGTTTGATACGTTAAAGTGGGACATTCACGAGATATACTTCACCTGCTGTGGCTGATGGAATGCCCGCGTTGCCTTTTGTATTTAACTATCGTGAAGTTTGTATGTTGTTCTGTTTGTATAAACTTGTCCGTGAAGAATCACCGTGCTGCGATGTTATTTTTTTCCTCTTCTTATTCTTCGCACGCTTGGCACCGCAAAGGAAAACGTTGAAAGAATAAAAGAGCGCGCAAGGAAGATTGTGGAGAGGAGAGAGAGAGAGATGCCCGCTCGGAGTGATGTAGAGAAACCTTCGGAAAGCCGAATTGGGGTTCACGCATTCACGGGTCAAATGAGAAACGTTCAAACCGTTCACAAATATGCGACTATGATGGCACCTTTTTTTGTCCCTGCCAGTATCAAAATATGCAAAGTAGGTACGTGTGTGGTTAATGAAGTAACTTGTATCTATTTGGTTTTTGAACCTCTTTTATTGCCAGAAGTGCGCGAATGTTTGTATCAAAGTACGTGTGGTTAATGCATTGATTTATAATTCATCGATTTTTTTTGCCTCTTGCACCAAAATTTCAGACTCGATTCCTTGCGAAAGGTTCCTATTTGGTGTTTGAACATCTTAACGCCTACTGATTTATTGCCAGAAAGGCTAATTACCTATTATACTTCATACTTTGATACTGGCAAAAATATCCCATGATGTAGCTTCTCACCCCGAGCTATAAACGCTCTGATACCTGTGGCATTGTCTTTGCACTGTTCACCTTTTGGCGTCGTTCTCTGGTCTGACACTGGTGGTGAGACTAGGCCATAAAGAAGGCATGGCCATAATCGAGTTTGCTTAGGGCCCAGTCTCACCAGCAGTGTCAGACCAGAGAACGTCAAAAGGCGAACAGTACAGAGACAATGCCACAGGTATCAGGGTATTTATAGCTCGGGGTGAGCAGCCAATCATGCCTAAAGAAGGCTGCTGTCTCTGGTGTAGGCCCAGGGCCTGATCAAGATTGTGTAGGCTCCCTGGGCTACAGCTACTGTGAGTCCCCCAGTAATATTTTCAAAAGGAAAACAAAGTTAAAGAAAAAATAAAATTTATTTTTGCAAGGCAAACAAATCAACTTGAGCATTCACAAATGAAATAACTTTTCACTTAATCTCTAGGAGGCCATCCAGCTAGCGGAGGCCCTTTGGCTGCAGCCCCGAAAGCCCCCGTGCCTTAATCCGGCCCTGTGCTAGGCCAATCAGTCTCAAAGGGAATTCGTAAAAAAGGGGGGAAACCCATTATCATAATTCATATACTATCAGAGTATGTTTGATTTGCATGTTCACCACAAGTACCGTGTGTGATTAATGAAGTAACTTGAGTCCTTGCAAAAGTGTTGATCAATTTGGTGTTTGAACATCTTCACGCCTCCCTCTTTGACTCTTTGGTTCTTTCGGTAAAGTCACATAGACGAAAAATAAAAAAATAATGAAAATAATAAAATGAAAATAACTAAATTTAGTTTAATCTATGTGACTTTACCGAAAGAACCAAAGAGTTATGGATCCTTGCAGTCGAGAAAACTTCAAATCTCGAACCTCCTCTTTTATTTCCAGAGGCGCGCGAACGTTTGTGGAGGGAAGCTTCGCTTGAGTAACGACAGAGTAGCAAGCGATGAATGAGAACCGCGTCCCAAGTGAACGTGGGCCTAGAGGAGATGGAGCTAAGAACTCAGTTCACGTGCAGTGTGCTGGGTGGAAATTTTACATCCCAGGATTCGGGAGAGACGCCGGTGGATAGACCATGGCTGGTTTTATTTTTTTATATAATCGAGATTGAAAAACTAATTTCTTTAAGAACTTGCTTATTGCATGTTTAGTTTGTTGTCCTTCCCCCGCACCTCCGATTAGCGCGGCTGGCTACATACGGTGCGAAAGAAGCTCAACGTACATACGATGGTATGAATTGTCGTAATTGTTTTAGGTTCTTAGATGTGTGTACACTGCCAGCTAATAGTCGACAGTTTGAGAAATATGAAGTGTCATTTAATATTGCTCACAATGTTTTTTTTTACTTACCACCCTTACGTGTACATTTTATTTATTTCACTTTCATATCTCTCATAATACATGGCAGTCCAGTCTCTCGTTAGTCCACTGTGGAATTGAGGCCTCCACGCACCCCATGAGGATTGTTTGACCATACCTCACCACGCACACAGATCAGTGCAGGCTAGTCTAGTGAAGGGTTGGGGGGTTCTTTTGGGAGGGGGGTGGGGGTGGTGGCGTGATGTCCGACGTTTCGCATCAAGTGCTGGGATGCGGAACAACACGAATGCAGAACCCAGAGAGGACATCGGTCACCTTAAAAAAAAGGTAAAACAACACAAGGCCTCCTCCGAAACCAATTTTTGGAATGTCAGATGAGGTAGCTTCGGCTCTTTCTGATGCTTCATAGCTAACCTGCACCCCCCCCCCCCCTTCTCGGTGGCTATGAGATGTTAACTACCTCGCCTGGTATACAGGAGGTCGCGTGGGCCTTACCTGGTAAAATAAAAATTAATAATTTATGAGAATAGGTTTTCCCTTTTTTTTCTGGCAAAAAAACTGCTTTGTTAAGATGGTAAAACACCCAACTGAAACCTTTGACAAGGAATCATGTCTGCATTAACCACAATACTTGTGGTCAGAATGCAAACAAAAGACATACTCTGATAATATGATGCATTCTCTTTGAAACTGATTGGTCCACACCAGAGACAGCTTTCTTTTGAGCCTCGTCTCAAAACGGTGTTAGACCAGAGGACGCCAAAAGACGAACTGTTTTTCTTGTTCTACCCGCCCCGCCGCCTCCAGGCCCGCACTCTACAGCCCCAGTCAACAAACACCTGTCAACAACAAAAGCAACAACAACAACCACCACCAGCACCAAAAACACGTTTCCTCGGGGAAACTGTGACCATCACGTCATTTGCTCTTAGCGGGAGCCTTTTTGCGCGTCGCGTCTCCCCCCGTCGCGTCTCCCTTCCTCGTCCTCCTCCTCCCGGCGTCCTCGGCGCCGGCGCCGCCTCCGCGGGCCGCCTTCTCGGCCTCCCTCCTCCTCGTGCCGTCCCCGCCCGGCGCGGCCGCCACCACCGCCGTCTCCGCCCGCTCGGCGCGACGGGACCGATCGCCGGGCAACTTTTTCCCCTGCTTCTCCGCGGCGTCTTTGCCGCCGCCGCCACCGCCGCCGCGTTGGCGGCGGCCGTCGCCTCCTCGCTCCGCGTCGTCCGTCGCGCGGTCGGGCGCTTCCTTCTTCGTCTCGTCCTTCTTGCGGTGGTGGTGGTGGTGGTGGTGTTGCTGTTCAGTGGAAGCCGCGGCGTTTTCGGCAATCGTGGCGACGATCTGCCCTTCTCCCGCCGCGTCCTCCTCGTCAGTTTTCGCCGTGGCTCCTTCACAAGAGGCGGTCCAAACGTCAATAAATAGCTGCTGCTGCTGCTGCTGCTGTTGTGTGGCGTCTGATGCCCCAATTGAAGTTCGCAATTGCACCTGATGCCGAGTATGGCACGGGGGAAATGTAACGTGTGAAAAACAAAATGTTGTGGCTTGGCTCTCCGACGCGCAAACGGTGGCGCTGTACCAGTGACGAATTGGCCACGTTCTGTTTACGTGACAAATCCCTTTACTAGTTGGCTGTGTCGGGTGGTGGCTGGTTTTAACGATGCATTTATACGTATTCACGCCATCTAATCCCCTCAAAGAAAAGTCTATTAGGGATCAAAGCTGGTGTGCATATTTGTTTCATGTGTATGTGACAAACAAAAATATATTTCTCAATCTACAAGAAGCGTGCTATGGGCGAGTCATTATGGGTTTTATTGTGGGTCCTCAGATCGTGCAGATGCAATGCCGGTTAGGTCCCTGTTTGTTGGTGTAACGTTCTGACCTGCCCATGCTGGAACATCTGTGAAAAAAAGAGCTTTATAGCTCATCGGATTCCTGCAGTATTCTGATGCTGTGTGTGCCCTTCACCACGCAGCACAGGCAGACGGATATAAGCTTTAACCTGGACAAAATGTGCCAAATGAGTTTAAATGTGTCCTTAAAACCCGCCACCACCCGGCACAGCCAATCAGTGAGCTTTGCCACGGTTTGTCACGTGTGTCGGGTGGTGGCGGGTTTAACGACACATTAATATTTACGCGATCGAACCCGGCAACAACAAAAACAACCTCTCATGGATACTATAATATTTGTCGCGAAAGCCTCACCGCGCGTTAAACCAACTGAGCGTTTTGTCCCGCAGCTTAAACCGGTTACGCTGGACGACGAGCGGAATGTTGGCACGTGCATTCTGCATTGAGTACAACACTCGGCTTATTATACTACGTGTGTCGTAGACGTTGCCCTGAAGCCAACAAGGAAATCTTGCATAGCGGTGCGTCACGAGCAATGGCTCCGGAAGACTCTATTACCCCCCTCCCCTCTTTCTCCACAGGGCGTTTCCGTTGCTGTGGAAGAATGAATTATTATTAACGAAAATGTATTATTAACGAAAATGTATTATTAACGAAAAAATAAAACGGGCCCAGCGTTACCGTCCACGACGATGCCAGCGTTTTTTGCATTGATAGGGGCTGCTCTCTTGAATATCCTCAGCTTCTCAACGTCTCGTTGGCCGAAAGAGCACCGGCCTTACCTAAAATAGCTGGGTAACAGCAGCTGGCTAAAGTCTAACCGTCATCCGTGTCACAAATTTAAAAAACAACAACCTCAATCTGGATAGTACTGGACATGTAAGGTCCGCAGGAGAGCGTGGGTTCGATCCCTGACCCTGACGCCTGCTGCGTATTTGGAATTTGCGGTGTCTCTCTCATCATCATCATCATCACGGTGGCTAGGAGATGTTAATTACCTCGTCTGGTATACAGGAGTTCGTGAGTTCGATCCCGACCCTGACGTCTGCTGCTGTATATTTGGAGTTTTGCGAGTACTCTCTCTCCCCGCGGTCGTGTGGCTTTAATCGTACGAACACAAAACAAAATTTGCTCGACATTTTCTTTGTTTTTGTAGGCCCCTTCAGTAGTCGTCAGTCCCCCTTAGGCTCAGTGGCCTAACCTGTGGGCCCTACGGGGGTCACACGGCGATGCCGTGACACGCCTCGCTGAGGTGTAGCGGCGTTGTGCCGGGCGCGCGGAGACTACGATGCGTCCGTGCGCCACAGGACGCGACCGGTTCCGTCGGCCGCTTTGGCTCCGCGGGAAATATCTAAAACCTGCGGCTACATTCGCTTTTGCTTGATTTAATAAAAAAAATTCACGATGTAACACGAAAAGCAAAGTTCGTGGAGAATAATAGCCATTTTCTGTACTTTTGAGGCATGAGCAATTGGAAAATAACACTTACTACCCAGGAACATAAAAAAGATATTTTTTCTTACACAGCGTAATATTTTTTTTTAATTCCATTCATTTTTTCACGTTCACGTGGATTCAGCGGCGTAGAGGCTAAAGCCGCAGGCGCACCCCGTGACTGCTTGACTCGCACTAACCGCTGTAGGGAAGGGGTCTCCGCGAGAGAAAGCCCCGGTTGGCACCTCGAAGAGGGTGTTTGGCCTACTCTTCCAGGCTGGCCGCATGCCTAGGAAGACGTTGGGAAGACTCACACTCGATCCCCAACCAAAGCAACACACGTGATCCGCCCACCGACCCAGTTCTTTGCGAACCCATTTATGTTGCTTGCGGGATAGATAGAGGGGGTGTGGGGATGGTTTTTTGGGGGGGTTGTGGGCCGATTAATATCACAGGAAATCTGTGAAAAGAGAGCTTCATAGCTCTTCGGATTCCCCCAGCACAAAATACATTTTCGGGATCTTGCCCCGTCCGTTTGAGAAACCTGCCCAACGGTTGGAAGCGCCTATGCCGACGGATGGAACCGAAAGGGCCATCGAGCAAAGATTCAGCGCGGGTCAAGAGGACCGACAGAGGAGAGACGAGGACAAGTGGTTCCTGATCTGTGGGCTCTGGCCCACCGGAGGAGACTCCGCAAAGACACCATCATTATTGTGCTTTACCACCCATTGCACGGCTGCTCAGATTAAGCCAATGCAAAGCCAAAAATAAAAAAATAAAAAAAATTTGGAACGTATTTTACGTCTCCCCAGGTGCGCGATGCCGAACTTCTTTCGCGCCGCCCGTAGCCAACCGTGCCGATCGGGGCTCCCTTAACGGCGCAGTTTTAATCTGCGCCGGGGTGGTCTTTCGGTCGGCGACGAGAACGCGGGAGGGGTTGACGGTGCGCCCGCGGATCGGGATGAGAGCGTTCGGAGGCTCCGTCCGCCTCTAGGGAATCATCGTCTCTTCTTCCTCTGGGAGGGCAGGGAGCGCGTGGCCTCCTCCTCCTCCGCGCGGTTGGACGCACGGCTGGCCAGAGATGGTCTGCAGAGGGGCAATCTCTGCTCGCGGGCAGAGCGCAAGGAGCGAGCAGGGAAAAAGAGGATAGTTGCAGGACAGACGAAAACAAAGGTGTGGTGTTTGCGTGAAGGATGAAACAAAGGATTTGGAGTCACACGGACAACGGGTTGCCCGCTGCTTGCCGCGGCTGCTTTTGCGACGGGACCCACAAGCCGCGGCCCGCAACGACAAAGCACGAGAAAAAAAGTCACAGCATTGGAGCGGCAGTGATACCTCGAGGGGTGTTGGTGCAGCAAAGGGAGGCTTGTTCACAATAGAGTTTTTTTTGTGGGTTAGATCGCGTAAATACATGAATGTATCGTAACCCTCCACCACCCGACACGGCCAAACAGCAACGAATGTGTCACGTTTGGGGCATTCTGTCTACAGAAAACCCACCCACACAGATTCCTACTTGAAACCTGATTCCCACCACCACCCAGCCCAAAATAATTCTCTCATCAAAACTTTATACCATAGAGCTCAATGCATTTCGGACCAACACCACCTGACCAGTGAATTAAAACATGTACACCTGGCCCTCAAAAGGAATGGATACTCTGACCGTACCATCCGCCAAGCTGTTTCTCACTCCATACAGAAACAACCACTTGATACTCCGGTCAAAACCATCACACTACAATATATAGCAGGCGTTACTAAAAATATATCCAAAATTCTAAACAAACACAAGATCCAGGTCCGGTTCAATACAGTACACAAAATTCGTGATCTGATCCCATCCGTGAAGGATGTCATTCCTGACTTACAGTACCCCGGGGTTTACAAATTGAGTTGTACCTGCGGTGATTGCTATATCGGGGAGACAAAGCGACATGTCTCTGACCGAATTCGCGAGCACAAATCAGATTTGAAACACGGCAGAACGAATTATTCTGCCGTAGCTGATCACTGTTACAACGCTGTGGGTGATCACGATATAATTTTATCTGATAGTAAGGTTCTTTGCAAACCCACGGGTTTTTATCAGAGATTTGTTCACGAGGCAATTCAGATCTACAAACACAGACATAATTTCAACCGAGAAGATGGTTTCAAATTAAGAAACCATTGGAAAGATGTTCTAAATAGAACCAAACATTAAACTAATTTTCAATGGTACAGTATATTTTTCAAGTAGTGGTACCCCAAACTTTCGCAGCTCTTAAAAAAATCCCTTTTCACACCATCAATAGGTAAACTCCCCCTCCCCCCCTCGCCAACCGGCATGTTCACCCGCATGTACACCACCTCTACACCGTTCATCATGCTAAGTCGGCCAATCAAATGCTATTTTTTATGCTAATTCCTTTGTCAAGGCGCTCTGTTTCCTCGCACACAGCTTAAAGGTCGCGGTCTGAGCGTGGCTGTGTTTCCCTCCAGCACTGTCCTCGAGACAGTCCGCTCCCTTCACCTGATGAAGGCCGCTTGTGTTGTGGCCGAAACGTCGTGATTTGAAGAGTGAATAAACATCATTCATAATTTTTATTTGAGTACGACGTTTCGCTGGTAATTACATCCAGCATCATCGGGCAATTTGCCGGGAGCAAATGGAGGTCCTCACCATTCTGGCAAATTGCCCGATGCTGCTCAAAAAAATTGCAAATGATGTTTATTCACTCTTAAACACACCGGTGGACTAAAGTAGTGAACTATTTTGTCTTTTGTCAACGTGACAAAATTTTTACTGTTTGGCCGTGTCGGGTGGTGGAGGGTTACGACACATTTATAAATAACGCGATCTAACCCAAAAACCTTTACTATGAACAATATTGGTCGCGAAAGCCTAACGGTGTTAAACTAGTAAAGGTTTGTCACGTAAACAGAACGTGTCGGAGAGCCAAGCCACGACATTTACAATCTGAGTACGACGTTTCGCCTGTAATTACAACCAGCTTCATCAGGCGACAGCCAGATTAACGACGGGTGGTGGCGGCTTTTAACGACACATTTGTATATTCACCCGATATAACCTACCCCCCGCCTCCCCTCCCCCCCCCCCAAAAAAAAAAACCTGTATCACGGATGACATTCTTTCGCAAAGCCTCCTAAGTGTGAGAGAGGGGAGGCAATTTGACGGCTTTGAACGAAGCGCGCGGTGGTGCGAATCGAGGGAACGCTACAAAACGTGGGAGCAAGGGGACCCCAGCGGTGTGTGCGTTTGTATCTAGGCACGAGCAAAGGCGTTTACCGGGCGCTTACATTACCGCAGCACTTCAAAGTGCCCCGCATCGCTTCACCGCATCATTCCCGATGCGCCTACACGTGTGTGTGTGTGAGTGTCGAGCGCCTTTCGCACGGCACGTAGCCCACCGTGCTACTAATCGGAGCCTAGGGACCTCCCCCACCCCCCCCGGCCTCGTCCTGATGATGCAGTTAGCAACGACGTTATCAACTCGATGTGCGCCAAGCGGCGTCAATTTGGTGATTTGTCTCTCAGTGCCCTGGAGGCTATTTCTCTATCGCGGTCTGGAACGTTTAACGCCGTGGGGGAGCGCTCCCGTCTTATCGTCAAATACGTGCTGCTGTTGTTGTTATTTTACATCGGTGGTTCAAAAGCTGGGGGTGCACGCTGCACGCCCTGGGGGTGCGAGATGCCCCCCTTTTTGGGGGTGGGGGGGGGGGGTGGGGGGCGTGAGACGTGGCCAGATTTTATTTTTTTTAGAGGTTAAATAATCGAAAATACAAATTTGAGCACGGTGCGCGTGAGTTGCAACTTAACTTTGTTTCCATCAACGGCCGACGTGGTTAGTAACATCGTGCACAGATAAATAAGTGAGCGATTGAGAGGCAAAGGGGTTTGCAAGGCTGCGGTAATGGTTCAGGATTACCGCTGTTTTGACACTTGTTGTTGAAAACAAATCTCGTGGTGGTTGGCAAGAGGGAGGGGGGCCCAACTCGTAGGGAGGGCCCCCCCCCAACTCGTAGCTGTGGTCACCACGGGGATGGCGGCGGGGGGAGGTGGGCGAGGGGGGCGGGGGCAAGGCACCCCCCCGCGCCCCCCCCCCCACCCCGATGACACACAGCACAGTGGGCATTCGGCAGCTGAGTCGGGACGTTTCAGGGGGGGCCTGCACCTTTACACCCCCCCCGCCTCCCCCCCGCCCCCCCACCGCCCCCCAACCGCCCCCCCACCGCCCCTCTCTACCGCCTCCCCACCGCCCCCCCCCACCGCCCCCCCCACCACCCCCCCACCACCCCCCACCTTACCGGGGGTCTCCGTGAGGGCGCTGAGCGGGGGCACCTTCTCCAGATTGTTGGCGTATTTCTTGGCCGCCTGCCGCTGGTGGTAGCGCGCCTCGATCTCCTTCTTCGTGCGCGGGATGCGGCACTTGAAGATGCAGCACAGGGTGATGACTTTGTGCACGCCGAGAGAAGGGGGGGGGGGGAGAAACAAGGCGGAGGTGGAGACGGAATCAGTAATCGGGATGTTTAGGTTCGGACCGGCGGTGATTCTTTACCGCAGCCAAAAAATAAAACATGTTAAAAAAGAGTCACGGGGTGCTTTAAAAAAGAAAAAAGATCTTTACGCTTCTGAGAATCGCAACGATAGCACGCGGAGAAGTGTTGTGCCTCTCTCCAAGCTCTGGAGACCACGTGGAGAAGACCCCGGGCACCACGGGTTGACAACGCTGGCGAACAAGTGGGTGACTCTTTGACCTTTTTGAAGCAATTAACATCACATTTGTTACGTTACAAGTTAATTATTACGAGTTTATTTTTCCATTTAAAAACGATAGTCCCATATAAGTGTTGAAAAAAATGCAAGCACCCTGTCCACAGGGATTTGATGAAACAAAGTAAGTTGTAACTTAACGTGCCCGTGCTAAATTTGTGTTCTCGATGATTTACCTTCTAAAATAATCTGTCCATTGTCTCGCGACCAAACCCCCCCCCCCACCCCCCGCCCCCCCCCCCCAGAAAGGGAATCTCGCACAACCCCTAGGAGGTGCGGTGATGCACCCCAGGTCGAGAAGAAGAGCCCACTGCTTTAGACTGCAGGAGGAATCCGATGAGCTACAAAGCTCTTTCCTTTTCGCAGACTTCCACTCCGTGGGAACACGGGGCCTGTGCGTTACAACAACAATCGATACAACAATCGATACAACGACAATCGATTCAACAACAACACGATAGGAGTGCAAAGCATAGGAAAGGTAAATCAAATCACTTACAAAAAAAAGCTACATAACCAATTAAACAAAACACATTTTTTGTATCTTACCACGTAAGGCCCACTGAGCTATCAGCTTTTTAAAACAAAAATATTCTTTTCACAAGCCACCAGCCCATCACAAATGATAAGCCCAACAGAAGCGGCTTCATCGCGAGATGCAGCGCGGGGTGATGGATCAACGCAGCAGAAATTCGCGTCGAGGTCGACAGCGACGATCCACGTCGGTTGGGGCTGGCGCATCCGTTTATTTGTGGACGGCCCAGGGTGTCGTGATATGGCGCGGTGGTTATAACACTCGTCGTGCCTCGGGGCAAGAAGGGGCTTCGCTTGGGTTCGACTCCCGACCTGGGCGCCTTTTTTTTCTGCGCGCCCTGCACCACGGACCCGGGTGTGTTCCCCGAGATCGATCCCCGCTCACGGCCACCGTCAACGCCAGCGGCCGTGTGACTGTGGCCTGGGGGAGCCGCCGAGGTCCGAGAAGGCCTCGAACGCAGCGGTGTGCAGATTGGGTTAGAAATGTCATCAGAAAGTTAGGGAGTGAGAAAGTGAGAGTGAGGGAGTGAGTGAGAGAGTGAGAGAGGGAGTGAGAGTGAGTGAGAGAATGAGTGAGAGGATGATGGAGTGAGAGTGAGTGAGAGAATGAGTGAGTGAGAGAATGATGGAGTGAGAGTGAGGGAGAGAGTGAGAGAGAATGAGGGAGAGAGAGTGAGGGAGTGAGCGAATGATGGAGTGAGAATGAGAGAGAATGAGGGAGAGAGTGAGGGAGTGAGAGAATGATGGAGTGAGAGTGAGGGAGCTAATGAGGGAGGGAGAGAATGAGTGAATGAGAGTGAGGGAGAGAGTGAGTGAGAGAATGAGTGAGTGAGAGTGAGTGAATGAGAGAATGAGTTAGAGAGTGAGAGAGAGTGAGTGAGAGAGAGAATGAGTGAGTGAGAGTGAGGGAATGAGGGAGTAAGGGAGTGAGGGAGTGAGAGAGTGAGGAAGTGAGGGAATGAGGGAGTGAGTGACTGAGAATGAGGGAGAGAGTGAGGGAGTGAGAGAATGAGTGAGTGAGAGTGAGGGAGAGAGTGAGTGAGAGAATGAGTGAGTGAGAGTGAGTGAATGAGAGAATGAGTTAGAGAGTGAGTGAGATAGTGAGGGAGTGAGAGAGTGAGTGAGATAATGAGTGAGTGAGTGAATGAGAGAATGAGTAAGTGAGTGAATGAGAGAATGAGTAAGAGAGTGAGTGAGATAGTGAGGGAGTGAGACAGAGAGTGAGGGAGTGAGAGAATGAGTGAGTGAGAGTGAGGGAGAGAGTGAGTGAGTGAATGAGAGAATGAGTGAGAGAATGATGGAGTGAGAGTGAGGGAGAGAATGAGTGAGAGAGAATGAGTGAGTGAGAGTGAGTGAGTGAGGGAATGAGGGAGTAAGGGAGTGAGAGAATGAGTGAGAGAAAATGAGTTAGAGAGTGAGTCAGATAGTGAGGGAGTGAGAGTGAGTGAGTGAGAGAGAGAATGAGTGAGTGAGAGTGAGTGAGTGAGGGAATGAGGGAGTAAGGGAGTGAGAGAGTGAGAGAATGAGGGAGAGAGTGAGGGAGTGAGAGAGACTACCACGTGGGACTTTAAACATCCAAAACTTGTCACTATGAAGGGGGGGGGGGGCGGGCGGTGTTATTTATTTATTTATTGCACAAGCCTTGCTCGAATGCTTGCGATGGCTCTGTTTGCAGAGTGCGAGCGAGCGCGTCAAAAAATGCACGCACGCGCCCACTGTGTCAACGAAGTGTGGCTTAGAATGTATTGTTATTTAAAGTCTCCGCTTTCGTCAATCCTGCCCCTCTCTTCCACACACTGACGGCTGATCTGTGCTGCTTCCAGTGTTCAGGGGCCTGCTTAAGGCGCGGCTCCGGCTGGAGCACGCCACGTACCACACACACGTGTCGGTGATGTTCAGAGCGTCTTCTTCGAACGCTGGGGAGCCGGAGAAGCCCCTCCTCTGTACCAGCGTGGACGGCACCCCCCACGTGTTCACCTTCTGAAGCGCTCGCTCGTCACCGTGGCGTGCACGATGAACACCAACACCACCACCACGTGGCTTTTATTTCGTGTTGTGCGCGGTGCATTTAGCGCCACAGCGCGTGGATTTGTAGCGATTATTTTAATTTGTGTTGCTGGTGACTTTGTGTATTTGTGTTGCTGGTGACTTTGTGTTTTTCATATCGGAATCGCCGCCAGTGCTGTTGCTGCTGGCGGCAATAAAAGTTGTTTAAAAGTGAAAAGTCTCTCTCTCACTCTTTCAACTCTCTCTCTCTCCCTGTTGGTCCTTTGAGCCGTGGTGAACACTGCCCATGGTGGACACTACCCAGGGTGGACACTGAACATGGTGGACACTGCCCATGGTGGATACTACCGATGGTGGACACTGCCCAGGGTGGACACTGAACATGGTAGACACTGCCCAGGGTGGACACTACCCATGGTGGACACTACCCATGGTGGACACTGCCCATGGTGGACACTACCCAGGGTGGACAATACCCATGGTGGACACCACCCATGGTGGACACTACCCAGAGTGGACACTGCTCAGGGTGGACACTACCCAGGGTGGACACTGAACATGGTGGACACTGAATATGGTGAACACTACCCATGGTGGACACTACCCAGGGTGGACACTACCATTGGTGGACACTACCCAGGGTGGACACTACCCAGGGTGGACACTGAAATGGTGGACACTACCCATGGTGGACACTACCCATGGTGGACACTACCCAGGGTGGACACTACCCCATGGTGGACACTACCCCATGGTGGACACTACCCAGGGTGGACACTACCTAGGCCCTCGTGTCGGCCTTCATCAGTGCTCGCTGACAGGCACTTGCCCGTACAAGCCTAGTCAAGGCTATACCATGGGGGGGGGGCACCTTTACCTTTGTGCGTGCGAGCAAAACAAAAACCACAGCGAGTAGCCGTCGGCCCCCCACCGCGACTCCTTAAGAAGGCGATCAGAAAGGGCGAGAAAATCTCACGAGAAATCACTGCCGGCCACTCTGTCTCTCTCTCTCTCGCATTCTCTCTCGTTTTTCAAGGGTTCACACTTGAACGTGGCAGAGGTCGGGGAGAGGGGGAGCCTTCGAAGCGAAGGGCCGAGAAAGCCAAGAGGTTGGGGGTGAGTGAGTGGCTCTAACCAGTGGCCCCAGGTAGACACGGTGGCTAGGAGATGTTAACTACCTCGCCTGGTGTACAGGAGGTCATGGGTTCGATACCGACCCTGACGCCTGCTGTATATTTGGAGTTTGCGGTGTCTCTCCCCGTGGTGAGATGTTAACTACCTCGCCGGGTGTACAGGAGGTCGTGGGTTCTTTCCCGACCCTGATGCCTGCTGTATACTTGGAATTTGCGTGTCTCTCTCGCTCTCTCCCCGTGGTGGTGTTGATTTTTCTTTGGGTTCTCCTAGTTTTCCCTCCACATTAATCATCAACGTCACACGTTTAGAGTGTTTGGCGAGGTAGTTAACACCTAGCCACCCTGATGATGAGAGAGAGATGCAAGCTCCAATTATACAGCAGGCGTCAGGATCAGGATCGAACCCACGACCTCCTGCATACCCAGGGAGGAAGTTAACATCTCCTAGCCACCCTGGCTGGTTGTCTGAAAACGAATATACCAAAAGAACGTTGACTAGCTTTGTTCTTATTCGAGATTCCGACAGAAATATAACATGAATACATGTCATAGACTTACACGTTGCTATTGATTAGACATTCTGGAATTATTAATAAACTTCAACATGCCGCCCGTCGCTCACGATAATCAATCTAATTCGGCGTTCAAACTCTTGAGCGAACATTTTCCAACACATCTGTGGGGATGGATGCCCACAGCGGCATCGACGATGCGATGTTTAAGTTCTTCAAGGGCCCTTGGTAGGCTCGAAGTAGACTTCAAAGATTAAAAAACATCTAATGGTGTTAAGTCGGGTGAACGGGTTGACTTGTCATGATGTCAAATAATGGGGTTAGTTCCAATCAATATTCGCAACAAACTAAAACTGATAAATCGAATGAACCAACAATATGTATTATAATAATAATTCAAATATATAATGTGGCATTCCATCCTTCGGATCCCAATGCGCAACGCACGAAAAGCAGTGAAACAAAAACAGAACCGAGGGAAAACCACCCAATCTA